ACGGCTCGTACCCGTATCCTTGCTGTCCATTCCTGTGAGGTCGTCAGTTTTGTGATACGGCTCGTACCCGTATCCTTGCTGTCCGTTTTTGTGGTCCTCAGTAGTTTATTAGTATTCTTCGACGTTCTATCCCTAAGGCTGAGACCCCGTTTCCCGGAGCTTTTGGACCTAATAAATCGTGTGCCTTGTACAGAGGAATTGTGTATCGCCCGAAGATCACCAATATATTAAGAAAAGTTCCTCGTGTTTATTCCCCCTCTCTCCAAACGCAAGGGAATTTAGAGCCGGACCAAAGCTCTTTAGCCCTTGTGTTAAAACCAATACGCAAGTCACCGTCAAGTCAGCATGCTACCCCATAACTATTTCTACTTCGCGGCGGTGTTTCCAGTCACACTAGTATAGTTCAACCATGGTTCTAACTTACCATCACATAATAATTAAGAATGGATTTGGGTTGTTCGTTGACCTGCAACAGACCTTTACACCTTTAGACAGATCACCCACGCAAAACATATTCAGTTATATTAAAATAAACGAATAAAAATTCACGTTTCCCTTGGACAGTAAACATTTCAGTCATCAGAGTATACACTACAATTTACTAAGCGATAAATATTCTGACATCAGTATGCATAATAAATATATATATAAAAAACAGAAAAAATAGAAACATTCAGCCTTATTAAATCGATTTTGTCCCTACACCACTCTACTTCGGGGCTGCACTCGTGAAATCGTCGTCCAATCTCTCACGCCTCCACAGTCCATTAAATTATCTCTTATTTCCACCAAAATTTCCGTATCCAATGCGTCCAATAACTTGAAAATGAATGTTGTCGCATTCGAAACGTCGTTAATAGATTAAATTACTTTGTTGAACCTGCATTTTAATCAACCAACGTCATCTGAATAATATTGATAGATCCAGATAATCTAAACCAATGGATTCTCTGGTCATTAAAGACCCGCGTCTCATATGAATTTATGAATGAATATTAGGGTAGAACAGAGAATTTTTTTTAATTAGTTCTGCAACTTTTGAGTAGACACTGACTAACGAATAAACCTACATTTTAATTAACATTTGAATGAAAAATTAAGTATCCTCAACATCCACGAAAATTTCAAACACATGGTTTGCGCCGTATATTTTAATTCCATAGTCAGCAGCTGCGAAAGTCAACTCTGATCGTTAAGATGATGCTCCTGCATTAGTATCCTCAATTCAATCAAAAAGATATTACGCAATATATGACACTAACCGACACTATTATTATTAATACGACACCACTAATAAGGTTTTTATGGACTGGGCAGTCGAGCATAATTAATTCTTTTGTAATGAATTGCTGCAGAATAATTAACTTTTTCACTATAAAAAGCGTTCGACCGGTCGATATACGGTGTGGTGATGTCGGTCCTTTGTGGCTCGAAAATTAATTTTCACATTTCTGGAAAATTTTAAAACAATAAAATAGAGATAGTAATGATAAAACCAAATTACAAAACTACTTTAAATGACCTCAAATCAACTCAGGTAGCAGGTACCCAGAGTTTGTTTATGGACATCAACTCAAGGCCATGCTGAAAACACCACCTATTGACGGCTACCAATCGCCCTCCGGCCTCCTTGCATCAGCCACACCGAGAAATTATTTCAGCTACTCAAGGCTCGAACCCATGTCTGGCTATTCTCATCTCAGTACAACTGCCATTAATTGTGCAAACAATGGAGTATATGTTAATAAATTTCCTGGAGCTCTCAGTATAACTCGAACGTAAATTGTTTATGACAGAATCAACTGAGGATGAAGCAGCTGCAATATTATTCTAGTCCCACTCCATTATTCCACATTTCAAACAATGAACATTTACATTATAGCTTTTTAACACACCTTGAGCTAAAAAATGACGTTAGTATCAAGATTTGAGATATTTTCTCGAATTTATTCTTAGTGAAATAAAATCATTCCTAAATTTCGCTCCAAAAAAGCATCAGTGTCAAAATAAAACGAATAAATTCTAGAGATTGCATGTGACAAAGAAAGATTTTTTGCACTTTCAGATTGCATGCTTCAAGGAAAGTGCAACCAGTAATGCACTGCACTCAATTCTATAAATAATTGCCTCAGGATCACAAGTAAAAAGTTCCGTAATTAATACTAGCGCGAACACTTGTAGAGACGTGCACTTCTTAAAAGGCCATTTAGATTGACTATATACCTGCATTTTTGATCAAATATCCAAGAAGTTAAGAACCCATCTCTTTTCTTCACACATGGAATCCTTTAGAAACCCATAGTTTCTTCATTTATTTTTCGATTAAGATAGCTAAAGCATAGATTATTCTACAGTAGAGCATGGTTGTCTACTATATTTTGCCGTAGTCTTCTTTGATGAGATCAGCTCCTCTCTCCGCTATCATGACCGTGGGGGCGTTCGTATTGCCTGACGCACAAAAAAATAAGGCTCAGGGTCAGACAAAATTTTGTTCCAGACAATTATGCGTAAATATTATTTTATTGCTTGAATTGTATGCAGGGGCACTTCGTCATAAAATAGAAATTAATAAATTAAACTCAACTAAGAATATCAGCTTTTTTACCTGAGGGAACGGAGGGCATAACGGAAGCGTCGATGACGCGTAAATTCTTGACACCTCGCACTCTGGAAGTTTTCAAAGCAGAGACAAAAATGTAAATATATCGATTTAAAATCAAATTCATCAATATAAAAACCACTTGAATACGAATTTTTCCACCTCTCCAAGTGAATGTACTCAATCTCATCATGCATTTAGACACAGTTTTCTTTTCGAAGTGCAATGCATTGCATTGTTAGGGTATATTTTCAGTAACGGCCCTCACGTATAAAATAATAAAATAAGAAGAATAGTTAGTCATAGTAGAATAGGTATCGTATTACCTGATGTTGAGTTCATTTATAACCTAATTTGAAAGTGATTACGCGCTATAATGATCCACAGAGTCACGACTAACAGAGTACTTATATGAGAGATACACGACTTACAGTTAGTTGGAATTGAGACACTTATAGGTCATAGGATGAGCAATTGAGCATATCTTCTGAGCATTATCTGCTCAAGACTGAAGATCTAAGCGTAGTACAAAGCCACATAAGTATGTTTTGGCGGGCGCCATCAGAGCATACGCCACCACCGTGTGAATAACAAAAGGTAACATGTAAGGAAGTTTCTATGAACGGATCCAAATTAGAATGGCAGTAATAATTCTTCAGCAATTCTCACGTGCAAGAATAAACGTAATTGAACTTAAGCTAAGTGAATGTATAAAAAAATTCGTATTGTGCCATTTACAATGCCACCTCAATAAATTGTGAACTTTACATCCTCCTGTAACCTTGAAATTAAGCCTGAAAATGAAGTTCTCTTTGCACCAGAAAGTTCTGCCAAAGGAAAAAACTTACCAGTCGGTGTAGTTCAGATTCTGTTGATCAACACATTCACGCTCGCCTTAGTTTTTCATGTTAGTCCAATTAGTACGAACGGCTATAGTCGTCCAAATATACTAGTGCTATAATAGTGCAAAAGAGACATATGGTTCGCGAAGAGCTGTCATTGCTACGTGTGATTAGTTACATAGGAGTAATGTATGCACATATGACTGTTTAGGACCATTCATTATTGTTCGAAGCAATTCATATATGAAAAGTCAATTTAAAAAAATATATATACTTCTATAAATGGTTATATATAGAAGTGTACTTTCTATGGCGCAAGTATACTTTTTTGAAACATACAATATATACACGTTCATAAAATATTACTTTGTTCTTCCCAGTACAAGATAGAAAATTGAGGAAAATTGAATGCCATGGCATTGAGGAAAATGGAATGCCGTGACCGTAGCTGCTCATAAATATCATGTGATGTAATGACTTTTTAGCATGTCCCTACCTCCAGACTTATCCCGACTCTCCATCCAAGCAAACCTCCAGGTAACTTATACACGAGGCGATTAGTTGCGTCGACTACAGTTTTGCCAGCTGAGAGTCTATAGTATACACGACGAGGAGAGTGTTTTCGGTACAGTATTACAGTCAGTACAGTTCCCCAGCGCTAGTGCGACGTTGGAGGTTGGCGTGTGCGGTGTCTGCATGGTGGAAGCAAGTGAGAGCGCCACAGCTGTGCGTAGTACAGCGGCTATGAGATAGAGTAACGCTGCTATACTCACTACGAAGGCCGAGCCGCTACTGGGCACACTTGTGAGTTGTGGCTTGAGTCTTGACTGGCTGAAAACAACTAACTCTGGGTCAGAGTTAGCAACATTGCTCTGTGTGCAATGCAACAGCTTGCCACCTCTGAAGAAGTCAATCATCACAAATATTAGTTGCATGACTTGCGTCGACCTTTCGACTCAACTAATCGCCCCGTGTATAAGCACCTTTACCTAACTTCATTGGATAGAGCAAACAGGAGAAGCGGTGTAAGTGTGAAGGTAAGGCCATGCTAAGGTTGCAAGTGTAAGGAGATAATATTGACTTGAGCCGTGGCTGCAGACACTTAACGATATGGCTCTATGCCGTTGCGGAACCGGTGTGGCATGCATTGTTTCTAGCGTGGTCTGCGACTTCGTAGCTCTGAGGCTGAGTGTAGTTACGCATGCTTAGGCTGAGCGTTGGCTTAAGGGCTAGTTAAAAAGTTAAAATAATAGGCAACGGGTGCTCTGCCTTCAATACGACATGAATCATTGCTAGTTACTCCACTAGGAAACTGTTCATTATCGCTTTATACTATAACAATATTTCAGTCGTACCTTAGTCTAGGTGTAACAACGCCCATGGGGTCGGAGTCGGGAGCCATCTTGCAGGTGCTCGTCATGTGCCCTGAAACGGTGCTCCAGCCGTGCACGTAGCACCGCCAGTAAGCGTCTGACTCGAACTCGAAATGCGCGCAGTCAGGAACCGGCTGCAGAGAAGCAGTGCGAAATTATGTTTCTTTTGTTGGTGAATAAAGATTAGAGAATTGTAACATTCATCTGAACGCGGTCAAAAAGTAACCTATGATAGAAAGGATATTACGTGAAAATTCGTTTACAATTTCGGATGAATATTCTAGAACGTTATATTTTGATGAGATTTTTTGCGTTTTGAACGAACGAAATCCTACGGTAGCTGCCGGACATCTGTATTTCGGAATTCTTTTTTACTGGCTTGATCATTGGCTTATATAACGTATGTATATTCCATTTTTACCTAAATTAGATGCATATCATTGAAAGGAGTCATTTATACGCCGCAGAAAAATAATTTTATCCACCTTATCCAACCCTTCCATTCTAGATTTGGATTTTTGTGTCATAGTTTTTCAATAAGTGGGTTTCCGTCGATCTCGTGTTTACTCAAATTAAGAATTGCATGTCGCAGTAATATTCTGAAGTTGTTCTTGAGATTAAAATTATTCACGGCATAATACCATGCTTTTACGGCGATTCTGAAACTATGTTCAAATAGTTATTAATCTAATCCATGAAATATTTCCCTAATATTTACCACATGTGTTGTTGGTCAATAGATTGAATTAATAATGGTTCGTTTTCAGGGTAAAGCATATTCGTACAGCCAATATGCGGTCCTCTAGCTCGATCTGGTTCAACAAAAAGACGCGTGCGCATTGTGCTGCGCATGTCGGTGTGACGTCACCTAACTTCCATGTCCGATCATTGGAGTACATCGGGGAAGGAGCTGTCGTAACGGAAGCCTTATTTCGCACCTCATTAAGCTTTGTGCCTTGACTCTGAACAGTATTACGATATAAATTTTTAGACTATTTTCGTATTGCCTACGATGCTCCTGATTTGTGTTTCTTAGATAACCTTGACATTTGTAAACAGATACCTGGTCTGGAAAAATCTTATAGTTCTTATCAGCATAAAATTTTTGATGTTAGTTAGTTACTGCCCCCTTATTCTCTTCATTAATTTTGGTTTCAGGCAGTTTATTATCATATAAATCAATATCAAATTTGGTTAAATTTTATTAAGTAATTTATGAACTGGCGATGAAATTGACCTTCGAAATGTGTCATATGGAAATTTGACTAATTTTCTGGTCTTTTCTTCGATTATAATAATCGAATTTGATTTTAATTATTCTAATAAATTCAATTATATCAAAATCATCGATATTTTTTTGGATTTTAACATTTTATTTCAATAGCCTCATCATGCAGTATTACAAGACCGGCAGAAACGAGGTTAGAATAATTTTTTTTAAAATTAGGTACTTATTAATTCTTTCCGATTTTAAATTAATTGAATATCCTTCAATTCTCGAAACAAGAGTTATGTGGGAATTATTTTGCACTCTATTGGGGATTAATGTTAGAATTTGGTTTTAACAGAACTTCTTTTTATTAACATTTTCTTACTTTGCCAGAAATTTAAAACAAGGAGATCTGAGGTAACGGAATTCATAAATCGAGGAAAACCTATATCGAAAGGATTATATTTACTGAGAAACGCCTATCAACGGTGCAAGTAGCTTATACAACAATAAATAATAATAAATGCGCTGGTCAAAATGCAATTAAGAAACCTAGAAGAAACCTCTTAGCTAGAATTTTTATAAGAAGAACAGAGTTTAATTTAATTTTTATAGATTTACCTCATTAAAAGCTTCAGCACCGAGTACACTTCGGAATATCTTGGCATTCCCCAGCCTGCGCGAGGCCTTAGAAGCTGCAAAAATTATGCATTACTCTGTTCAATAAGATGCACTAATAAAAACATGACACAGTTAGATTACGTAGATGCGAAAATCTCTCAAAATCTGACAACAAATATTGATTAAATATGTAGTATATGATTTGATACTCTCTTTTGCGAGTCACGGCTGACTAACAAGCACCAGTGACTTCCTCGAGTGAGACAATAGGCTTGGTCAGAAAAAAAATTTGATCATTACTCGCTGCAGTGAGTGACAGAGAGCGCATTTTCTCGTGAAAGGAAGTCACGGACGGACGGACATGACGAGCACAGTAGCGCCTGTATTTTAATATATGAGAAAATGAGCTTAAAATGGGTGTAATAATTTGTTCGCTTCCGAGCACGCTTTTAACTTTCCCAAGCGGGTTTTCTTGAGTTATCTTTATCATCACACCCAACGGAAAGTATATTCATGGAAGGGAATCGACTAAACCTATTAGTCTTTCTATTTTTAGAGTCTTTTTTTACAGATTTGGGGTCAACGGGAGTTTTTTTTCTGAAGTATTTGCCGGGTTAAAACCGATGTGGCAATACTAATACAAAAATAGACATTAATATTGAAGTATCATGCTAAATTTTAGAAATAAAAATGTCACCACAGAAGAAGATAGGCTAAAATTTATTTGGAAATGCATTGCTCTCGTTTACCTTTGACCATGAGCTCGACGTCATCAGGATGGCTGAGGCAGTTGGGGTCTACGATTGGCGGATCGAAAGGATTTTTCGACCTAAGCGTGATCGATCCAACACTCTTGGGTCTGGCGAGCATCGGGGTCATGTAGTAGCCATCTCTTCCGTAGATTGGTCGAGTGTAATCTTGAACCTAGTAAATCCTGGTTAATTTGCAACCAAATCTATGCAGTCAGTTACATTCTATGATTCTGATGGTGTAAAGCGTATACAAATCAATTCATAATGAAAACGGAAACAAGCTGGGCAATTTCTCCTGCGCTCCATGAGTAATACATTTTCCCGTTTGTTTGTTTTATGCATGTGTATTGTTTTTTTTTCTTGACTTTGTAGACGTGAGCTGCACGTCTGCAAAATATTTATTCTGCAGCAACATGTTTTCATTGAAAAAGGTTTATTGCATAGGAGAAAATCAAAATAATACAAGCAGAAAATTGAATTACACATGATTTACCGATTGCTTAAGTGGTTGATAGCTGGCCAGTCCGTATAATTGACCCTCCAGCATACAAAACATGTATATTTGCGTGTCAGGAACATGGGGCTCGTGAGGGCTGTCGATGTTCAGGTGATACAGCGCACACACTCCGAGCGGAGCTGTCAACGGACCTGTCAGCCCAACAACATTTTCATTAAAGTAATAGTAAAAGCGGTTTCAACGCTGATTAGGCCATTAGACCTGTCGCCGATTGTTAACATCGCAGATCATTCACAGCTTGTTGTGGTCTCGAACACGTTAATCATCGCTGTAATTCTGCTGCGCTTATAACCGCCCGGCCTCCTTGCCGATTCTGACCAGAAACTGGCGCACAGATCTGGGATCGAACCCGAATCTCTCTGCAACAATATTCTGGTACCCTAAACTGAAGCCACTGGGCCACCCTTCATTCCTTCAGTATTATTGAACACTATAAATAATTTCAGTTTCTAATTGTAATGGAGTGCAATGCATATGAAGCAATGAGAGGGTATTATTTGGACGCCATTGGTCAGAGAGTTATTCCTTATACTGGTATCTCTTATGCTCGTAATGAATTATCCAAGACAGTTTATTTCAGTTGTACGATTTTCTCTCATGGAAAGCTACGTGGATCTAATAATGCAAAGTAAACTTGAATCCAATGTTTTCATTCCGCTCATAAGAATCAACGGGGCTGACTGTGAAATATGATTGTAAGGTCATTTACGAGCATGATAGAATTTAATATTATTTTTAAAGTTAATAAATTATTCTATTAATGAAAATCATATTATTTGAGTAAAACTGTTTGGGAATGTCTTGAAATCTAACCACTTTGAATTTGCCACTCCTATCATTGAATGGAAATTTCAGTGAACATTCTAAAATATTCAGGAGATAATTTTCTTGTTCTAAAATAGACCAGCAGCAGTGTCAGAAAGAGAAAACATATAAAATATTGCAAACAAATGGAATTGCTACTTTCCCGGATTATGTCATTTACCTGATCTCCTCTCTCTATAGTCCAGCATGGCACTTTTACCAATCCGTGCAAAGATAGAAGTCGAGATGTTGGGATTGATGGTCCAACTTAATCCCAGAACCATTACGTGATCTTGTAGGTTCTGTCCAACCCCCGCAAGGTCGACTCGAGTTTTAATCTGTTGGGGCAAATTATATTCGTACTAATGTTTCTAATATCTTATATAACACGCACATAGATAGCGTTATTACGTTATCTGATATACAAAACTTCTGCAAAACACAGGAAACGACGAAGCATGCCGGTGGAAAGTTATTATTGGTACAAGAAAGTTCAGAATGAATATTACCTTCCATCTTCTGATAATCTAGATCATAACTCAAAAAAACAAGCTCAATATTCTATTTCAGGTATGTTGGACATTAATAATCAAGTGATGATTCTGTAGGAACAGATTCAATGAAATTTCAACACTATTCAGGAAACAGAAGCGTATTTCATATCATAATAATGATTGCAAAAAAAACATCGCACAATCGTCACACTTGTGTAAGCATATTCAAAATATCCATGACTTCATTATGTAATGAACGTGAAGCGTTTTAATTTATAAATAACCAAAATAACAGCATTCCTTCAGTTGCCATAGTTAATACGGTTAGCAAAAAGCGGAGCAATTTAATTTTTTTTCCATATACTTAGATATATAAGCCTGTATATTTTAGGGTGAAAGGATGTAAATGACATCAATAAGTGCTAATTAAATCATTTTTTACGTATAGTTAGGTAGAAGCAACTCTTTAAATGCAAGCTTTATCGATGATCAGTAAGTAACGTTTATTACAAACTTTCATATGTGTTTAAATTTTATGAATTTAACTTCTATTTCGATTGGGAACTTAAAAGATTAGGTTTCCAAGAGATATTTTATTTTATTTTTGCCACATATTGAATACGACTTTTCGTGAACATTAAAGATAAACACTGATTTGGCAGTGCGAAATCAACACTGATAAGCCAGTGCAATATCAGCACTGATAAAGTAGCGCGATATCAACACCGAAGAGACAGTGCGATACAAACTCTGATAGTACATTCTATAATTAAGAAAAATTTCAAATTACGAAAACCTAAATTTGGCTTGGTTTCTATTGAGAATAATAGCGAACCAGCTTACAACGTTCAGTAATCGCATTTGTTTTTGCTTATGAATCATGAAGAAAGCGCGATATTTTGAAGCCACGATAAATGCAGATCGAAGTAACAAAGTATATCTGTGTTTTGTATTTACCCCGAGTTTTTCCAGATGTTCACGGGGTCCGATCCCCGACAGCATCAGCAGCTTGGGAGTATCAACTGCGCCGCCCGATATTATCACTTCCCGTTGAGCGAACGCCCGCTTCACCTGGCCAAGAAAAAATTCAATCTGTGCCTGACAAATTTATGAAAAGGCTTGAGAATAAACCAAAATTTATTTTCATTACCGTGCATCGTGGTTGAACCCCTAATCTAGCTATAGTAAAGAATACGTTGCCACATTATGTTATTTTCCCCGGCAAACATTGATCGGATAACATTGAGCTTCCTACAATAGAATAAAATGAAGCCTGATCGTCTTTAAAGTCTCTACACTCGCCATTATTTATTGAATTATTCACTCCGTATTAAATTTCTCTGAAGAGCAATTCTGATAAGCATAAAAATTATTTATATAAAAGAATTTAACATGATCTCACCTCATTGTTGTGAACATATTTCACTCCAATGGCTCGATTGTCAGCATTCAGGATAATCTGAAAAGTAGTACGCAATGAACGTCGACAGTCGAATTTGTAACTTTATCTCTAGCTTATAAAAATAATAGTTCCTAACCTGTGAACTAAGTTCAAATATTGATGTCCGCTTAAAAATCACGTTAAAAAATACTGTCACATCTAACGCAAACTGGATTATACAATTTTTTATTTGGAACATAACAACGCAAATAGAACCTCCTTAAAAGAGCTACAACTGAACTAATTCGCACAGGTGCGAGATGTTAACTCCCACAACCCCCAAAGTTTTCAACAGACTGGAAAGAGCATTTTGTTCAAGACCTTTATGGCGAAGGTAGAGGAGTTATTTCATGCGACAGTTGAATAGAAGCTTTGTAATCAAACTTATTTTATTTGTAATAAGAATTTTTATTGCATTATGCTCGTATATCGAGTATATTCAGCTTCGTCTAGTGAGGTACGTCCAACATTTACTAGAGCTCATTCACACCACAATAATTAATAAATAAAAATGGCCTCGACGCCAAACGCTCGAGGTACGCTCGTATACGTTGCTTGATCGTGGATGTCATTGGCGTGCAAGAAAAATTTTCAGGCCAAATTGTGGATAGAACCTTTTACATGAATGTTGCATTTTAAGTGTTTAACTTTGAGATGTAGATTGCATAAAATCAGAACAAACCCAGCCATTATATTTCCGAGCTGGATTTAAAAAGAAATAAATATTGTTTTCGCTACTGTTTTTACCTGTATCACTTGAGAGTTGATTTGCAGTTTAAGGTTTCGTCGTTGAAGACCCGGCAACAAGAAGGCGTCGGCTGATGAAATTCGTTCTCTGTTTTTGGTTGCTATTTGGTATAAAGAACTGCCTGAGAAGTGATATAAAAACGAAGGTTTATTAGCATAGATTGTTGTGGCGCTCACGCTCGGTTCAGAAACGTACGAAACTGTGAAGAATTTGATGATTTATAATATCAAACGTCAGTCATGGTTAACAATAAAGAAGCTATCAATATGCAGTAAGACAAATGTTTTGGGTTTATCTTCCACTTATTCTGAGTTTGTTCCAGGTTTTGCATTCAAATTATCATCATTCATGTTCTTGGGTGTGTTTTATATCCAGTTTGTCTCATGCAATGATTTGTTTTCGCAGTGAAGTTCGTCGCAAAGTTGCCCTGTATTTTGACGACTCAATAATATTGAACTTGAAGCTTCCAAAATTGAATTAGTCATTTGGATGACAAGAGTCACCGTTTTTCATCTTTACAACCATTACTGCATAGTTTGTGTTCGTATACCTAGACTTTGTGACAAACTAAATTGATGAAAAGAAAATGTGTCTCGTTCTTTGTTTTTTTTACGTGATTGCAGGTACACTGTAAAGGCGAATGTCGAATTTATTTCATTACTGTGAAGACTTGCTCTGGTACAAGAAATTAAAAAGCAGTATACGAAAGTCTGTGAAATATCATTTCTGAGAAAGCCTGAGAAATATCCAGTCGAAAATCAAACAGATAATTCCTGTTTAATTAAGGTAGTGAGTGTCCAGCGAATCATTCGATACCTAATCACACCTTTGCACTATTCTTCACCGCAGCGAGTAGCAGCCGTCCTAGAATGCGCAACTGATTAATTCGAGTGACTCAAATTCCTCTTCACACTTGGTGATTCACTCCGAACAAACAGAAGAAACTCTGGGGTCCTAAAAGGCGGCTTGAATTTTTACCAAAGTCCAATAATGATTTATTCTTTAAATAATTCAGAATAAACGATTTCGAAAGCTGTCGTGGACCTACTAATAATTTCTCGTGAACCAACTATCAGGCGCCACTTAATCTGAAGCTAGCGCGGCTTCAAAGATTTCGTTCAGCAAACTGAGCTCTCACCAATGTTCGTGTCCGTGTTGTAGTCGATTTGCCCAGGCACCACCTAATCTGAAGCTAGCGCGGCTTTAAAGGTTTCGTTCAGCAGACTGAGCTCTCACCAATGTTTGTGTCCGTGTTGTAGTCGATTTTCTTCAGTCCCATTTCCTCGCCCGCTCTGATGGCTACGCGGCCCGCCGGAGGCACCCAAGGAATCTCCTCCACGCCGATGGGTCCCCCAAACCCTCGGAACGGTGCTACAAGAAAATGAAGCAGGAATTCGATATCATTTAAAAGAACATCACTTTGCTGGATGAGTTCATAACTACGGTAAATTAGCATAACAAGTGTAAATAAGATAAGTAAGAGGAAACCAGTTATCAGAAATTATCTTCCCGTCATTAAGTTTTATTGCAAATCAATTTGCGATGAATCTTTAAATCGCAATAAATTGATTTTGTCCACCGACTTAATTTTAAGTACTCATGAAACCATGACTGCCTAGATAATATGTGTAAGCGGTCTTGGCAACACCATTCAACAGAACATGTAACGACAGTTGAATCAATTTTTTTTTAACAGTTGAACCCGAATTCAGAAATTAGATAACACAGAAAATGTCCGAGAAACATAGCCGGAATTTTCAGATAAGTAATGCGTCTGATAAAATATATCTCAAAAATGAATACACATGTTCAGAAATATAACATAACATAGTGATGTCGGCGCTGAAGAGTAGGCCTCGGCTTTGTTAGCCGATTTTTTTACTTTTCGGGCTTGTTCACAGAAGATCTAAAATGGTGTCATTTGACCGGATCTTTTCAGGACTGACGATAGTTTGAAATAGCTACTAGATATACACTGGGTTCGATATGGTGCTAGGCAATTCAAGTCCAAATATATATTTTTCCATTGCTTTATCTAGTCTGTTCTTGAACGCGTTCATACTCGGAGCGCCAACGATGTAATCGGGGAGGCAGGTCCACAAGTTGGTGATTCGAAGCGAGAAGAAATTTTGTCGCGTGGAGAAGTTGCAGCGCAGTTTTTTTAGTTAATAGCCGTGGCCCCTGCTATTGGTTCTTATTTCAAATTCTAGTAATCCTTCGGGGACCTTGTCTAAGCCATGAGTATACGTGTATGCTTCAATGAGGTCCTAACGCAGACGTCGATAACTGAGGCTTTGAAGCTTCAAAATCTTTAATCTTTATTCAGAGGACTTGCCCTCTGTGCCTGGAATTATCCTTGTTGCACGTTTTTGAACATACTCTATTAATTTTTTGTCTTTTTCAAATCTCGGTGACCACACGTTTCCAAACTCTAGATTCGGGCGCACGACAGTAGCAAAGATTTGCTTCATCGATTCTGCATCTAGGAACTCGTATGAGCTCGCAAGTCCAAGAAGTTTGTTGGTTGTGTTAGCTTGCGTTTCGACATGCTTAGAAAATTTCAGGTCCTTGTCGACATAAACTCCGAGCCTTGGATAAACTCCGGACTTGGGATGGGCCTGTGGCTGCGGCCTCCGCGGCGCGGCTTTTGGAAGCGGCGGACTAAATATCCAGGGCTCGTCTACTTGCGGCGGCGAAGAGAGAGAGTGGCTTGTGGCTTCACGCTTTTCCTTCGGATGCTCTTGGAACACTTCTAGATCCCGGCTCCTTCCGCGTCTCAATTGCTCTTCGAGTTGGCGCAAATGTATGCGAACCCCACACTTGTCGGTGCGGAAAGCGGATGGATGCACGAGGAACTTAACAAGTAACAACTAACATGTTGACACTAGTAACAGGCTGAGGTTGACAACATTACACCGAAATCTTTCGTACAGTTTTATTCTGTAATTAGTATTATGTATCATGCTGGTTTTTAAATAATATTTAATAATATTAAGTAAAATTTAAAGGCTTTATCTATAAATGTAGCGGTAGCGCTGTAGCGGCAAAACCTCGTATCGCTACTTAAATATGTAGCGAGCGCTACCGCTACCGCTACATTGCTTTAAATGTAGCGCCGCTACCGCTACTGAAAATGTAGCGGCCGCTACATGTAGCGCTCTACTGCCCACCTCTGGGTATAGGGGAATGGAATGAATTATTAAGACAAATATTTTTTATATACTTAGAAGGTGCATAATCTGGTCTCCATATTTGTTATTTGGAATGTGACCTCATCCTGGATGTATATGTATATGGTATACTCGAGAACCTGTAGCTCTTTGGAGTGATGGCCGCTGGACTATTTAAGGGCTTTCGACGTCCCTGCCTTACTACGTTGGTCCAGGCGTATTCTCGAAGCAATTATATCTTTGTTATTATAGTTTTTTAAGTATAAAATCTTTCTACTTGGTCTTGGCAACTGAACTTTAAATTCGAGTATATATCCTCTTCTCTCCGACTTCCAGTGGAGCAGAGTATCCATCATTGATCCAAATGTCAATCAACATTTGTAATCAGATGAAGAGTATTTGAAAGTAATTCATTACATAACATAGTGATGTCAGCGCTGAAGTGTAGGCCTGATGTGGCCTGTCGCCGATTCTTTTCCTTTTCGTGCCTTGTTCAAAGAAGATCTAAAATAGTGTCATTTGATGGGATCTTTTCATGACTGACGACAGTTTGAAGTAGCTACTAGACTTCCACCGGGTTCGATATGGTGCTAGGCATTTCAAGTCTGAACATATATTTCTCCATATCTTTATCTAGTCTGTTCTTATAGAATAGAATAGAAGTGTCGGCGTTGAAGAAATAGGCCCATGGCCTGTTGCCGATTCTTGAACTTTTCGTGACTTGATTCACAAGGGATCCGGCCTTTGGAACCCGATCTTTCCATAGCTGACGATTGATTGAGATAGCTGCTGGACTTATTGCCTGGTCCGTTAAAAACGCGTTCATACTTGGAGCGCAAACGATGTCATCGGGGAGGCTGTTCCATATGTCGGTGATTCTAAGCGAGAAGAAATGTTGTCGCATGGAGAAGTTGCAGCGCCGTTTTTTTTACTTTATAGCCGTGGCCCCTGGTTTTGGTTCTTGTTTCAAATTCTAGTAATCCATCGGGGACCTTGTATAAACCATGAGTATACTTGTATACTTCAATGAGGTACCCACAATCCTTCTGGGACCTTGTATAAACCATGAGTATACTTGTATACTTCAATGAGGTCCCCACGCAGACGTCGATATCTGAGGCTTGGAAGCTTCATAACCTTTAATTTTTCTCACTAGGACTTGCCCTTCAAACCTGGAATTATCCTTGTTGCACGCCTTTGAACATTTTCTATTAAATTTTTGTCCTTTTCAAATCTCGGTGACCACACAACGTTTCCAAACTCTAGACTCGGGCGCACGACAGCAACAAACAACTGCTTCATCGCTTCTGCATCTAGGAACTCGTATGAGCGTCTGATTAGTCCAAGAAGTTTGTTGGATGTGTTAGCTTGCGTTTCAACATACTTAGAAAATTTCAGCTCCTTGTCGACATAAACTCCGAGATCTTTTTCCACACTAGACTTTTCAATCATTACTCTATCGTTGCAACCTTGTCTTCTCATACTGTAATCTTGCTGTTCATTGTTCTTCCCGAGGTGAAGTACTTTACACTTGTCAGCATTGAACCGTAGCTGCCACGTATCAGCCCAGTTAACTAAACTGTCAAGATCATCTTGTAATCGCGCTTTATTAGACGCATCCTTCACTGAATTATAAACTTTTGTGTCGTCGGCATACATGGAGCACACGCTGGGCACTACTTCTGGCAGATCATTTATAAAAGCAACGAACAAAATAGGCCCCAGAACGCTTCCTTGTGGCACGCCACTGCGCACTGATGCCCAGTCTGACACGGTTCCGTTAATACTGACACGTTGTCGTCTACCTACTAGAAAATCTATGATCCATTGGAGTACGTTTCCCTCAATTCACTTCATCTAACGCAACAGCCGCTCATGCGGAACACTGTCAAATGCTTTGGCAAAATCGAGGTACAATACATCCACTGGCTCCCTTTCGTCCAGCAGGCGAGTCCAATCGTTCAACGTAGATAATAAGTTAGTAGTGCAGGAACTGCCGGCAATAAAACCATGTTGACAATCTGATATGAGATGGTGAGCAGTCAAGTGATCGATAATCCTATCCCTCACAACAGATTCCATCAGCTTACAAACAACACTTGTC